GAACCAGCTCGTCTAAGGGCCACAGCAAGGGTCAGAAAAGTAGCTAGAAGCCAGGGACAGTTCTCCGTACTAGATGCCCATCTGGCTATGCCAAATGGGAAAAAGCACCTGGATATCAAGTGACACCCACCACCCCAGGAAACACAAGGATTACAGTGCACTTGCTTACTTGGGTTTAAAACATCAGCAATTTGAAAATCATTAATCCGGCACACTGGAAGTAAGCGCTCCCTGCAAGGAAAACAAAAATACAACCTTACCTGCAGTGACCATTACTCAGTTTTTGTGCTATATCCATTTACTAAAAAACAGATCTTGTCCTCTCATCCCATAGCATATGTACAGCAAGCACGTAACAACAGTAAGTCTCAGGAGAATAACAGTAGGACTCCACACACAGATCAGCATTAAAAATTTGTATTCTTACAGCATCTCAAAGATTTCTATAGACAAAATACTCGCCTGTAGAACAACTTTTCAGCTTAATTAGGGAACTCGTACACTTAACTGTTAGTCAGTTCTCCCCTTACAACTGAAATGAAGCTTAAGGTCTAACACTCACCTCATTCTAACAAAGATATCTACATAGAATTCAGCCAGCAAATTTACACAACAGGTACTTAGATCCCTCTTCTAGATGTAATGATGACCCTCTAGCCATTCAAAGTATAGGTTTGTGCTCCATCTTGGTGAGGCTGGATTATTTAGTTAACACATTCATTTTGACAAAATAGCTGCCTGCTGAGAATTTTACTCTATTAAACATTGCTGCCCCCTGTTCATCTGCAAATTTCACTTTGCTCAGAGCCAACAAGCAGAGGAGCCACCATCAGCAAAAAGACATAAAGCCTCACTACTTCTAGTAAATTGGACCTTTACAAAGAATAGCAACTGAACAGATGCAGCATCTTCTACTTACATGTGAATATACAAATTACAAACAGGTAGAAAGCCTTCAAATATCTGTGGATACATTATGTCAACGTTGACTGGCATCTAAAGAGTAAAGAATCAATGCATAAGTAGAGAATACTTAAACAAAAATACACAGGTTTGTTTCCACAACAAGATAATTCAAATAGGTTAAACACACTGAGTACAGTCTCCCCATCCACAGGGAACATGTTGAAGGCTGAAGAATGCCATCAAGTTCATCAGCAGGCTATTTTAAGTGTCAATTTTGGCTGGTCAAAATATAAAAAGACAATAATAACTAAAGCAGCAACATTACAAACTCTGGAATTCAATCTGAACCCTCCATTTTAATTTGTTTGTTCAAAACTGGTGCAGAAGGACAGTCTCTGCATTACACACCTAACAACAAGAAGCTCTTTCTTTAAACACCCTGAAATTCACGCACTCGGCTGTTTTATGAAGAAGTCAGGAGAAGGTAGTGGTACGCTCACTTTTTTCTGATATTTTAAACCTCATAATACAGTATCCCAGCTAATGTCATTGCCTGTGAAGAACTGAGTTATGTTGTGCATATATGATCTTCCCTTTCAGTTTATCCAGAACTGGCATGAGACAGTACTATTTGTTCTCACTTTCACAAATCAGTTCTTGTCTAACAGAGACAAAAGATAACTTAAGTGTTAATCAACAAGGTATCAGTTAACCTCCAGCTGCACTTCTCCTTGCTTTCCTCTCAGTTAATGAAGAAGTGGAGATGATCAAACATTAAAAGCAACATTTACTTTCCTTCTAGACCAGTCTAACATCTAAGCAGAGACCCTCCTCCAGCCATGGCCAAAGGCAGATGCCCAGGAAGACAGTATGTATTTTCAAGGCCAGAGATGGTGTCCCTTCATAAGCTTGTCCAATCCCTCCTGGACCTTACAGACATTTCTGGCACCTGCAGCATCTCAGAGGAAAGATTTCACAGCTTAACCGCAGAAGGAGAAGGCTCTCCACATAGCCTTTTCTTACAGCCTAGAGTGGTAAGTGAGCTTCTCTTCATGCCCACTAGTTCCTGTAGTGGAGAAGTGAGTCTCCTCTCTAGAGGCGGGGGGGAGAAACCCAGAGGCAGTGCACCCACAAAACCACTATTTCAACAAGTATCTTGAGCAGAAGGCAACTTCCAGACCAGGAGCAATGAACAAAGCAACTTCTCAGATGTAATCAGCAAGGCCTCAGCAACAGCCCACAGATGATGCTCCCATTTACCTCTGGTAAATGACCCATGCTGATGGCTGCACTGCAGTACTGCACTCTCATTCCTGCCTAAGTGAACAGACTAGTTGCCTCCCTGAACACAAACGCAAATGCCCATGGGTATACAGCATCTCACACACAAGTTTTCTGCAATAGAGACAGAATTTCTAAGCTCCCATTCATGCAATGACAACATACAAAACAGTAAACTACTTGCCATTTGCTAGTGAGAAGATAAGAGGGAGATACTTCAACATTAAATTTAAGTGCAATATTTTTTTCCTTTCACATTTCATTACACCTGCCACTACAGACATACCATGTAGAAATGCTCCAGGCGGATTCCATATACCTTCTGCAGAATTCTCATGTAAATCATGTGTAAAACTTCAAGCTGTAAGAAGAAAGGACATGAATCAGTATTCCATATGGTTGATTATTCAGGGCTCCCAGACTAGGCCATAAAAATAGTTCTACCTTTAACACATGAAGACTGATTTCACTGAGCCACCGAGACTAACAAGTTTTACTTTCCAGTAGTTTGCAATTCAAGCATTACTATCTCATAATACAATTATAAAAGACAGCAATCAGCTCAGACAGCTACAGTCCTAACTGCCATAGCTATACATTATTTTTCATTACATTGCTGCTCACTGAGCAGTTTTCAAACCAAACAACACAAAAAAAATCTAAAAAAGGTCACAGAAACTATAATCCCATAGCAAAGAGTGCCCTTCATCACGTTATTAAAATGGAGGGGAAAAAACACCTACAAGCCAACCAGTTATTCATTTACAGCACTAATCGACGATCAGTTCAAACCAGTCTTCCTTCTCAAAAACAATCATCCCACCGCTCCCTAAACAAGCAGGGCCAGCCTCCTCCTTCAGCAGGCACAAGCACTTACATAGCAGCACAAGGAATCACACTGAGGCATCAATTCAATTTTAAAGCCACTTCTCTTCTGTTGAGGTCACTGCAAGACTACGTTAACATTAATGGTCAGACCAACAGTAAAAAAAAAAGGGGGTGGAGCAGGGAAGGGATGCTTTTCACGTGATTGGTTTAAAAGCATTAGTTGATCAACTAAGCCTGTTGAAACTATGACACTATACCAAACACAGCGGCTATTTGAGCCTAGTTCCCACAGAACTGAGAAAGACAGACCATGTAATTTCATGTTTGTCCGTTTATGAACCCACCCACTACCTGGGGAGGCTTGAGCAAGCTTCTCTCAAACTGAAGAGAGGAGAAACTCTAGGTTTAGCCCTCTAACTCCTACGAGATTAATCTGCCGCATCGGAAAAACTAAGCACCTCACTTAGAAGGCGTTGCTGTACGCCAAAGACCGTGCAAGCCGGGAGAGCGATCACCCAAGAAACCAACCGACAAGCGCGAAAACCGCTGGTGCCACTGCACGTAAAGGCCTTCCCCTACGACGGATAGGAAGCTGCCTGAGCGCGACGGAGCTGCGAGCACAGCTCCCCCTGCCACTCCCGACCCGCCAGAGCAGGCCGCGGCCTCCCCCGAACCCCCTCACGCACCTTGGTGTTGCCGAACACGTCGCCCTTGACCAGGTTCCGGGCCTCGGCGCCCGCCAGGACGTGGCTGCGGAGGTAGTTGATGATGTCGTCGGGGCTGTAACGGGGGAAAGTCAGCGCCTCCATCCCGGCGCCGGGCAACCGCCA